AGCTCAAAATGAAAAAATATGGAGTAGTTTTCAAAAATAAAAGTGTCACAAAGAAAAACTACATATTTCCTTTATTTCATGGGGATATTTAATTTTTTTTAATGGATTATTTATTGAAAATTTATCAATAGTAGTATTTATTTAATTTTTAATACAACGGTTCTCCATACAAGTGCAGTCTGATCAGCCTCATGCATTTTCAGTGAGTTTTAACTGCCACAACCTTATATGATCTGATTTTTCATCAGATCGGACTAGGGCTGAAACATCGGATTAATTGAGATAAATAACTCATTTAGTAATTCCCCTGGTTTAAATTTTAAAAATTTTCTTTATTGCACCTTTTGCTATCACCTTATTTATTGATTACGGTAATTGAAAAAAATAATTTATTACAAAAAGTAATTAGTTGCAGCCCTAGATTAGACATTAGATTGTTTTTGATGTGTTCAGACCTTAACAGTTACGCAGAAATTCTCCTGGTCTGTAAACAGACTGATTTCCCATGGCCATAAGGTGGGTTAAGTTGACGTTTGGATCAGACATTCAAAAACTTTGCTTTGATCGTAAGAGGTTTCATTTTTATAAAGAAATCTTCGACTCAATGATTTCAACTGATGAAATCATAGATGAAACCATTTCAGTTATTAAAAAATAACTAATCAATAACACAGGAATGTGTGTTAATAATTCAGAACCTAAACATTATCTCTACTCTTATGACATAATGATTAAATTATATGTACATTTTATTGCCTGAATGGTAGTAAACACAGTTTGCTATTCTGCTCCTATACCTTACAAGAATCACCATGGGCTCCATACATAAGTGGATGTTTGCATTAGACTAATTTTCAGATGGCATTCACTAGGTGGGAGGCATTAGTAACCTTCAGTGCTCTGTTCTTTCTAAAGCACCTGTTGGGAATCAGGATTTGTTTCATACAAGTCTAAACAGCAGCCCCACGGCAGAATTCTAACACCACACTCTGGTCCCTAAGGAACTGTCAGGAAAATACGAAGGTCTTTCTGGTTTCTAAACCTCCTCTCAGTGCACTTTCCTTAGTGGAAAAGAGATCCAGTTATTTTCTTTAATGAGTGCAGTGTCCTCCCAGTTTCCCACTGACCTCTCTGCCAGCCCTTCTTAAGAGAATTTCCTTCTAATCTCTGCTCTGTTCTTTATTATGCAATTCTCTGCTCCCTTTTTGGTCTTGTTTCCCGTTCTCTGTTCTTCTACTCTCGTCAGATTTCCCCTCAGGTCATCGCCGCGGCACAATCAGTGTTGTCATGCAGTGTCTGGAAAGACTCGGTAAGGGGACAGAAGACGGAAGGGGGTCCCCATGGGAATGGAAGGAGCGGGGAAAATGGAGGCGTAAACAGTCTGATGGGTAGCTGGTGGGATGATAGTGGGACTTAACAGGATGACTGGCTGACATTTACCTGAGGGAGAACAATTATATTAGAGCCCGATGCACCGTCTCCACTGGGAGCTCGGGGCAAACAGGGCTGTCATTTACTCAAAGGAGAGGGAGGGGGGCAGGGATCACTAAAAACACCTCATACACCCAGTGATTTTCACAATCTGATTATGATCCCTTATTTAGTGTATTTATTTTTTCACACTGCTGGAAAATCAGAATTTTACTTTAGAAAGACCTACCTACAGCTTGTTGTCACACATACATGTATTTGACATTAATCATATTTTGGGATTAAAATAAAAACTCTTTAACTGAAAAGCTTTATGTTTTCTTGAAGCATGAGAAACATTAATGCTAAATTCCCATATACTGTATCTGACCATTCCTTCACAGCATCCACACATTTTTTTAGGTATAAAGAGAAAGGAAAGTTGTGGTGGCGCAGTATGCTCATTAATTTCCCCGTAGCTCCAGCCTTAGGTTAAGTTTCTGAACAGGGTGTGTATAGGATATGTGGAATCGGCGGAGATGTTTCCTTCTACAGCTCTAGAACTATACCAGACCTGGATGGAGGGAAGGTCAACTGATCTTTTTGTTTGTTGCAGTGTGGACCTGTCCTGTTTTTGTAATAAGCTAAACCTCACAAATATGGAATTGCATAAAACAACACTAGATAATGGCAATGTAAAAATGTTCAGCTGCTTCTATAGATAATTATTCAACTAACTGTCTTTAACAACACGATTTACCTCTTTTGTGTTAGCTCAATAATTTTACCAGCTACAAACAGACCATGGGGTAGTGAATCCCAGCCTGATTCTTGACCAGTCTTGCTTCAAGAACATTTCAAAACAAGACATCTTATTTTAAACCATGGGTGCTTGTTCCATTATTGGTGTGAGTGAAAATATGAGCAATGCACAGCTGAATAAACACAAACCATGGAAAGGATAAAAAAATTCAAAGAAGTTTGACCCATGTAATATTGAACACATTTTTGAGACCCAATTTGCTGAAGGTTTAAAATGAGTATTACTGAGAACAAATAATGGAGCAGTGGTGGGATGTTCTCCACCTATGGGGGAATCCTAACAATAATAAACAAAAAAAAGGAGAAGAGTCCACTACACACAGCTAAAATGGTTAAGCAGGCTGATAGAAACACAATAACATCCATGGCAATAGCCAACTTGCCCTTTCAGCAGAACAGGCAGATGTTTTTGAGTATAAACTAAAAAAGCAAGATTTACTCATGATGAACTAACAGCAATAATGGTCAGTTTTAGAGTGTATGGGGAATAATATCTTCATCTTACAGCATAGGAGCTTCAGCTGAGCCCATCAACCTTAATACCTATATTATTGACTGACAGCTTTTACATTCCAGTAGAGGGGACACAAGGACACCGCCTGTCCTAGCAGGGTATTTTCTTTTAGATTCAATATTCAATATCATTTTTGTTGCTGTTATTATCATGATTATCAACAATAAGTGCTGATATTATTATCAAGATAAGGGGAGATTATTAAATTCATCCATTAAAAAAATAAAGGTTTCGTATCTACCTTGGTCAGTCGGTATGAGCGGGACGTCCTTCGCAGCTGGAGACACACACAGTATCTGGTTGCCGTTTACTCTCCCCTCAATCTCTGTCAGGTTGCCAAAGGAGCAGGTGATGCCAACGGAAAGGTCCGGGACATCGCTTACCTTCACCAGCAGCTGCACATGGGACAGAGAAACAACTCATTACTTGGTGACCATTGGCAAACAGCCTTTTGGACGCTAATCCAATCAGTTGAAAACATTTTATTTACCGATAATGATAAAGGGAATACAAGGAAAAGAAACCAGCTGAGGTTAAAGCCATTTGGTTGGGCAAAGGACAAGGCAGAACTTTTGAAGAAATATAGAGGCTTTAGAGCAGCAGTAGATGCTTTGAAAAGAAATATAAAGAAGAACACAGGGCTGCTGGCAAAGCTGTCAATCTTTTCAGCCAAATACTGTCTCTGGGATTTAAAGGCCTTGGTATCAGAGAAAATAGGATCCTATACCTCTATTTGTCTACAGATGATATTATTTCACAGGTAAACACTGATATTTTAAAGAAATACATGAAGAAGGCTAAAGGACAGAAAAAGATGGACCTCTATTGTAAAATTAAGTTTATTTTCTTCTTCCTTTTTTTAAATCTTTTGAATTCATGAGCTGGAAAAGAAAGAAGACATAAAGCATGAGAGTTATTGTAAATACAATAAGGCTTGCACATGCATATGCACATTCAGACCTTTGAAGTCGGTCCCTGGAGAGCAGTGACACTGAGGCCGGACGTTTCAGTAGCTCCATCTATAAATAAATGCATTCAGCACAGGGTGCGTGATCCGGCTCTCCAGCCAAGAGAGGCAGTGTGGATAATTATCACCATGGCATTTCACAGCCTTGGTTTTATTAGTTGTTATTTTTGGGCCGTGGCTCTTGAAGTTCGCTGTTGTTTTATCTGCCTCTTACTAGACGACGCAGAGCTGGTAGGATAGGCGAAGCAGCTGAGCAGCCTGACTGCAGGTCTTTTCATAAAAACTACCTTCACACTGCCTCCCTTGTTACCTGCCTTACAGCCGACACCCGTTGAGGAGGGATAATTTCTCTTTTTCAGCTGAGGACCTCTTGTCTTCCCCCTGTTTTACTTTGCCCGTGTTTGTGTTGCCTCGCTGTGAGGCATCAGAGAGATCCTTGATTACAGCAATCAGCAATCAATGTCTTTTGTTCAATTTCGGATTTCCCGAGCAACCTCTCATATTAATTAGCTCTCACCATAGTCATGTGCATACACACATCTGCAGATAAAGACTTCAAAATTTGCTCATGAACATATTTAAACACTAAGTGAGAGAGTAAGCGTGTCTCGGGGCATTAAGCTATTGCTCTTTTTTGTTTTCCTGCTTTCTCTCATGATGCTGGCTGTGGGTGTTTTTTGTAGTTTGGCAGCAACAGACATTTGGTGGCAGATTTGTAGCAAGCACATTTTTTTTTTCTTTTCTTCCTGCTCTGCTTATGTATCTGTCCTGAAACCCATATGAGGAGTCTCAGTTGTCATGGAGATGGCAATTACCTTCCCAGGATTTTGTGCCCTGGCTCTGATTGTTTAAGGTGGGATGAGCCCCCAGCAGGTGTGGCTGACAGGTAGGAAATGACTATGGAGTAAACTAGCATTCTTTAAAGTGGCCAGCAGGGGAATTTCAGTCCAGTTTAATTTAAAAAAAGACATGAACAAAGGATGAGGCAATGCCTTTTCTTAGCCTTTCTTTGAAGTGTGGGACTTTAGAAAAACCTGAATGATGAATCTGCATTCAAAGCTAACAAAACAGCAATGGCTTAAACCTAAGCTTGATGTCACAGGCCTCTTTATTAGGTCCACATTGCCAGTAACAGTTGATACCCTATTCTAGTTTCAGAACTACCTCAAATCTTTGTTGCATGGGATTCTATACCTGCTAGGAGACACACTAGACATTTTGGTCCATTCTTACATAATTTTATCACACAACAGCTGCTGATTTATTGGTCCGATATCTCTAACAAATTAAATTTTCCGCCCTCTGCAAAGTTAAAATGCTGGGTTGTGATTTGCTGACTGCGGTGGCCATTGCACTGCAGCGAATTTAATGGCATGTTGAGAAATTTGCTTAAAGATATTTGAGCTTAGTGACATGGTGAACTAATCTGCTTGAAGAAGCCAATGTGTAGTTAAAGGTTGGATATGGACAACATCACAGCCTTGATGGTAAAGATCCATCTTTTTGAAGGTGTGACATCTTGTGTTTTCAGTGAATATATTCTGTGTTCCTTGAGTTATTTAAGATCCTGTTACCTTCCATCATATTATTGCCTATTTTCCTGATACTTGTCTCTCTTTAATAAATAGTTTCCACTTTTTTGATAATTCTTTGTAAGTCTGAGAGATAGCAATACTCAGTGCATCCCCTCTTACAACAACAATCCAGTTTCTTCCCAACTCTTATGTTTAGCTTAAACTTCAACTGGTTGTCTCAACCAGTTTACTTACTATTGTGTAAATGTCCATCGATATGTCTGTCTGTCCATCCACCCATCGTTTTCTGCTTATGAAAATCAGTTTGCAGAGAAAACTGGCCCAAGGGTAAAACTTAGGTGTCCCTCTACCTAGCAACAATTTCTAGCTTATTCTGGAGCTAATAGAGCCAGAAGGGAAAAACCTTAGCAAGACCCAGGTTATGCTAGATAGACTGCCAGCAGCGCAGGTCTTGTAATTGACAGAGGTGCAATAGAGATATGCCCATTAAGCACCCTGGTCAAACACCAAAACAACCTCATGTGACAAATTCCGATCTCACTGCATCTCCATTGATACTGTATATGAATACAACAACTGGATCACTTCTGCTTCAGAAGAATAGGGGAAAAAAACTCAATCCATCTCTATCTCCAGTTTGTAATCACTGATTAAAAATAATCCAAGACAATCGAACACCCATGCTTAAGGTGTTTAAATATTGACCCTGTGGACCTGTGGGGTCAAAGAAATGCTTTTATTATAACCTGGCTCTTAAAAAGATCTATATGTGATCATTTTCATTAGATTTAGCCTGTGAGTACTTCCCTTTGAGATATAGATATGTATGTTTGTAAATTATTTTTTCCGTTTATCAAGAGCAACAATTCATCAAAGTGTTACACATTTATAATTAGAACCAAGATAAAAACACCAAAAGTGATTTAAAGGCTCTTTGATTTCAAGTGTATCTATCATGCATTACTGTTGGGGATAGAAAATACACACAAGCATAAGTTTTAATGGGGTTCTAGTTATAAAGTATCATGATTGGTAGTGAAAATTCAACACACAGCAGTCTGTTTTTGAGCCAAGATAATCCCTTCCAGAGGAAGATACCTTTTTCCAGAGGTATCTCTGTAGTATAGCATATTAATAGAATATGAGCTAATGCCAATATTCAGTTGATACAAATATAATTTTTCTACATCAATGAAAAAGGGACACACCCCAATGCATCTCTATTTGGTTATATGTCAGAGGACCTTAACTGTCAAATAAACGGTTTGGCGTGGATAATATCAGGTATTATACCTTTTTCATGTCACAAATCTATATTTCAATGGAGCATTCATTTAGAAGGATGGATGATGGATGAACAGACAATCAGTTAGCTGGCAGTGACAAAGAACATCTGCAAGAAAGGAAAAAAAAAACAAAAAACATCTAAACTATGGATTTTCTCTGTCACTGGTTCTTAGTCTGGGAAACTGAGCAGGACTGTTATTCTTGTCTTAATTTGAAAACATTCTTATGATATTTAATGCTACAAAAATAATAAATGTAAGCTGCATAACCCCACCTATATAAATAAGATTTTTTTTAATCGATAAGTCTAAAACATATTCACACAGAGTAATATGCTACTAGATTTATTCCCATTTTGCTGTAGTATAGTTGTTTTTTTGTTTTTTTTTAATCCATTTTGGAGGGCTCTGCTAGGTAGTGTTTCGTGACGATCTAGAAAATCCCGTAAAGGAGATAGTCATCATCTTATAAACTTATCTTGGATCAGTTGCAGGGTAAGGGAGCCAGATGACATAGATACCAAGGCAATATTATGGTGTTACTGCACAGAGTGCCAATATTGCTGAAGCCATACAAGACTTGGATAAAAAACTGATAAAAAACATTTGGGGGATTTTTAGAAAGAAATGAAGAAACTCTGAGAAAGAAGCTTTCCAAGTCCACATGAATTAGAAAAAAAATGTAATATCCCACAGCTATTGCAAGGAAATCAATCTGTAAATGAAGAGCAGAAAATGACCCTTTGCCAGTGTGGGTTTATAAAGCCAAAGTATGTATCAGAGTTCCTACTAAAGATGAAGAGCATTTTCCACAACTTTCAATTCTGATCTCTGACCGTTTTGACTCAGCCCATGTGGAAATAATGCACTGTACTCTTCTGCACCCTGGCAACTTTACCGCCTACATACTCTCCCACGCAAACACGTCTTGGCACAAATATTGACTGCTCCGCAACAAATGAACATATGCATGCCTAAAACACCCACGTGAAGCTCTTAAAAAACCTACCCATCTAATGTTTATGCATGAGGCATAATCAGGACCAAATGAACTGCTCGCTGGCCCGATTCAGGTCTTTTCTCAGGGTTTTAAGTTTTTTTGTTTCAGGTGCAACATTTTGGTCATGTGAGAAAACTTACGGGCACACTTGGCTCTGATACTGCAATGCTGTCAGGATAGACAGTGGCCTTGACACACTGGTTGAGGGAGGCAGCAAAACGATACGGCTCATCTGCTCGCTCACACCACTTCCTTTGAGAGCATCTGGATGGGAAAAAGGAACATCAGTCAAAGAAAGACAGAGTTAGGTTTTATACACTCCTTTAAATGAATGAATAAACCATAAGGTAAGCTTAACCACTAACAAAAACTGACAGTCTTAAAGGTGGAGGACTTCCACAGGTTAGTGAAAAGACCCCCCCTTCTATGAGTGACGCGTCTATGAGTTGCGTCACTCATAGAAGCTTACTTTTCAAAAGAAGATTTGCAATTTTTTCACTATGTCAGACTCACCACCAGTAAATGAAAATGGGGATGACTAGGACAGCCTTACGTAAAGATATCACCAGAATAATTGACAATTAGGAGCACCATTTATTTTGATGATCCACCTGGAAAAAAACATCCTCCACTATACCTATAAGTATGGAAAAAATAATAATGATGCAACAATAAAATTCTTAAGAACCCACACTTTTAGATTTCGATTTGTAAAATCAACTTTCCTAATTACACTTTGCATTTAGTTGTTTTACGTATAAAATTCCACTACAATCCTTTTAAAGTTATAGCTTCATAAATGACAAAATGCATAAAAGTTCAAGAAGTATGAAAACGATTTGAGATTGTGCAATCTCTAAATACTCTATGGTGCTCTTTGCACCACAATCTGATCTATCAACCATGGAATAACTTAACAGATGTAACTACCTCAAATTGAAAGGCACTTTCTCGTAAGAGATCCTGGAGGTCAGACAGGATATCAAGTAGCAAACGACACAGATATATCCCTCATTAAAACTTTGCCTCCTTCTTCCCATTAAAACTGAGTGCTCCTTCCACACCGTTACACCAAAGGCTCTGTATCGCCAACCAACCCGGCAGTGTTGGCGTTAAGCTAACTGGCTGACTGGTCACAGCAGCTTTAATTGGACCCTGATAGGTCAGCCATTGTCCATGCCGCTAATGTACTTCTACAACACTGTGTGGGGTTGTGTGTGTGAGTGTGTGTGGCAGTTTGTGTTAAGGCTCATATCATGCTCTTTAACCACACCGTCTCACATAGACAAAGCTACAACTTCATCCCAAGCCTCTGTGTGTAATTATGTTGTCAGAAGTTGAAGTAGACTTAAGCACAGCAAAGCTCACACCAGAACACACACATAAAGTCACTCACATGTAAACACTTTAGTGCAGAGTTTTCTCTTGGGAAACCTTTAGAAATGATTACCTGGTTTCTTCTTTTCATTTTTTATTTAATTGATTTTTGCAATTAAATATGACTTTTTATTTACCTTCTCTCTTCTGTTCAGGGCACACAATTGACTCAATTTGCTGCTTTTTTTGTGCATGGCTTTCCCATTTATCTGCTTATATTTTTCACTTTTCCCTTGCTTTTTCACAAGTTTAAATTAGTATACCTTTTATTAGACAAGGTGTTACTCCGCCTGCAACGAGGTGCTTTCTTTTCTTTATTTTCTTTTTTTGCATTCACAATAGAAGCAGAAAATGATCCTTAATGTGCGTTCAGGTGTGGGCTGTGGCACAATGTTTTATGCATGTCTCCAAGGCCGTATGGGTACAGATGCAAAACCTGACCTGTTATTAAGGCACAAAAAGCTCCGCATTGATTTTCCATAATGTGAGACTTAATTTATTTTTTTTGGAATAAAAAAAAAAACGTTTTTCAGTGAGGTGAAGTAAGATGAGAGCACAGCAAGAGGGGATGAGGCAGCAGGGGTGGGAGACGTGCAGGATGGTTGCTGTTGCCATGGTTTCTGGAGACGGTCATTATCTTTTTGTAGTTAGAAGCTGACCTCTTTGCCTCCCTCATTAGCTGAAGAGTGTGCCACAGCGTGTTGACGACAGTCCTGCCTTCCTCATCCCCCCCCAACTCCAACAACCTCGGTACAATCTATTATCTTCCTGCTTCAGTCCGGCCTGTCACTCACTTTCCTCCCTGATGCTTAGCGTTTCATCACTGCATTCCCCACATGTGTGCTCAAGCACACCCTGTCACGCCTCCATGCCTAGATACTGCACATACATCCACTCTATCCAGTCCATTTCATGTAATAAGCGGTAAATATTTTTCCTTTGCCTGTAGTAAAAGCTAGAGGCAACTGACCCTGATATTGTTCCATCAAAACCCTGCCCTTGTTGCTGAAATGGCTGCTTCCTTGTTTTTTGCAGTGCCTTGTAAAAGTATTCATACCCTTTGAGGGTTTTCCAAGTTGGCAAGACAAAAACACTTTGCTTACAACTTGAAACACCTTTGAGAACCATGTTTTTCACATGGGTAGCTCTAAACTGCTAAAGGCTTTTTATTTATAAACTCCAGATTTGTTGGGTATAAAACAAATAGTTGTCCTATCAACTTTCTCCCACACATGTGGATCTCTGTGCCTCTCTATACTGTAGTTATTAAAGCTTCCTTATTTGCTTCAGTCAATTTATGTTGAGAAAAACATGGAATATAAAAACTGAATATTAAAATACCTGAATTTGAACTTTTCCACTGTCTTTATTACTCCCCTGTCTTGTGTATTTTCGGCATCTATTTGTTTTATTTTTTGAAATAATGTTCTCTAAAGAACCTCTGAGACCTTCACAAAAAGTCTAAATGTAGCTGCTCTGGTAGTTTAACTACCATAAAACCCATGGACATTGTTATAAATTAGATGATCTCTAAAAAAGTAAATAATTGCTTTGGGAATTATTTTAGGGTACTTGGGAATTATACACTTTTCAGAACTATATGTTTCTTTAATTTAAAAAAAAATATGTATTTGCTAAAACCAGTTGTTAAAACCCATATATTAAGCCTCCAGACATTTTTGTGTTCAAATAATCCAGAGCAACAATTTCCAACTAATCAATTTGAACAAATGCTAACATACACATCCCTCAGCCTTGAAAGGAGGAAGGGAAAGGCACGCACTGATGAAGGTTTCTGCTCTTCTATCTATCCCTTTTCTACCCCTTTGCTCTCTCCTTTTCTCCTAAGAAGGAGGATGTCAGTGAAAGTTCGAGGCCTATCTAAATGCTGCTCTTGCTGTGAAAACGATGCTTAAAACCAGGAGGGAAAGACTGAAAAGAAGCCATAAAACAAAACACCGCCATTACCTAACTGGTAACAGGAACAGAAAAATGCCATGTGGAGAGGAAAATGACCGAACAATGGAGATGGCTTGCCTGTAAGCAAGGGGGCATACTACTGGGCTGATGCAGGGAGTCCAATACCATTAGTCCCCACCAAGCATCAGACCTCTGAAGTATTGTTTTTTTAAAATGCATTGCGAGGAGACCAAGGAACTAGGAAAGACTTGAGGAAAAAGATGAGATCAAGAAGAGAATAAAGGTAATAAAAATGCAATGAAGGAAGGGACAAGGTAGAATAAAAATGGTGAAAACAAATAAAAATGGAAAAAGGCACAGGAAGACACAAAAAAATAAGAGAAATAATATCTGCAATGGGTCCAGTACCACGCTTATTAAAATTCTAATCTGGGCACCATGACCAGTTTGTTATTTGTGACGGACAAGGCTTTTTTCTGCTAATAACTACCTGCGGCGCTAATATGTGGATGCTTACAGTAATCAGCCATGGAGAGAGATTGCAAGGAGCAGAAAGAAGCACAAAGAAAATGACAGAAAATGTCAAAATTGTTATTTTTAACTTAACAAAAGAAAAGTGCTAAACTGCAAAACTGAATAAGCATTCCATAGCAGCATATCCTCAATGCTGCAATGCACTATGGCTACTCATAAAACAAGCTAAAGTATTTCAAGTATCAGCAACATTTTTGAATTTTTCATCTGATTACTTGATAAATCATCAAAATAATCGATCAAATACTGGATAATTAAAATAATTCTTATCTGTACCCATAAATCAAACCATGAAAAAAATGATCATGGACGAAAGGAAAGAGACAACACAACCTGAGGAGAGGAATCGGGGAGTGTAGAAAAGGTAGGAAAGAAAAAATGAGGAATGACTAACTGAATAACATGAAAATGAATGTAAGGTTATAAAAAATATGGATGGAGGGTAGAAGCCAAAGGGAAGAAAATTAGGTAGGAGAAAAAAATATATAGGGACAATTTGAAGGATGTACAAAAAGTAGATTAAGGGTCAAAAATAAAGGAATGTGAGGAAGGAAACAAATGGGGAAAGAGTGAAGGAAAAATGAGCAAGGAACTAAGAAAAGAATTGCACTTAAACAAATGAGAGAAAAAAGAGAAGAGAAAAATGTAACGAAGCAATAAATCAAGTAAGAAAGGGATAAATGGAAGCAAAGGGAGGTGGGGAGGTGTAACCAGCAGGAAAGAAACAATAAATAAGGTCAAGACAGGAGGAAGAAAAAAATGTACGGAAGCAAGATGGAATAAAGTAAAGTAAGCAAAAAAAAATGTAAAAGTACAGCCTAAATACGACTAGAGTTTTGGTGACTCACAAACATGAAATCCTGGACTCACATCTCGGTAAAAACAACAACCTAAACTATATGACTGTTTGCTGTTCTTCCTGATACTGTGTCTGCAGGATGGCAGGACAGACTGAGCACTGCTAGGGCGCAATCAATTTACATCATCTCAAATATCTCATTGAAAGTGATGTAGTGTAAACTAAGTCCCCCTTTCTATACAGACACCCTGAGCTGTCCTTTCATATACATGTTTTAAGAGGGCCAGGAGTCCAAGACTCCTTCAATGGTGAGGGCTTTCATCGCCCTACATCCCACCACGGATTGTCCAAGAAGAGACATGAGGAGGGAAAAGGGGAATGCAACAAAAGAAGACATGGATGCCTCTAATAAAATAACAGCAGGATGTAACAAATCCTCACAGTCTTTAACTGTATTTTATGTCACCTGTCCATATGTACTGTACATACTGCAGCACAGTACCAGTTCTACGTGCCAGGAATCTATAGAAATATTGATGGAGCTGCATGTTTGTGATCAATATCTCATTAGGCTTCATTGGTAAGATGGATGTGGCCTCCCTCTGTCTGCTAACTGGAGGCTTCAGCTGATGAG